TACACCTTATCTTAGAAATGCGTAGACATTCCATTATTTTCAATCATGGAGAAAGTTGACACGTTTCAATTAGGTAAACGTTATGTGACCGGTTTTCGATATGTTAGAATACGAAGTCGGCAGCAAAATCGACTTTTTGTATCGTTTATTCTTGAGTGGTCTGACAAATATAATATACTCCGGTATATTAGCCTTGTGGGCTGTTTCTTTTGCATTCTGCTAACATTAAGGGTTTTGCAGCGACAATCAATACATATTGCCTTCATGTAGTCCTATCAAAATACCGTACACTACCGAGAAATTGTTGTTGCGGCACTGAGAGTTTCATCGGTCTTAACACAGAAGAACAAGCACTCACCGTATATTTGAAAATGCAGTTTTTGAGTTGAGCAATAGATGAATTTTCTTTCCCCCCCCCCCCACACACTATTTAAAAATGATTAAGGCCTATTTAGAACACCCGCTTTTTTAATTTGGCGTGGGAACTTACCTGACCCACATTGTAATTGTCTGAAAATAGTTTTCTCATGCCTTGCATTTAGGATGTTGAATTGACGTAATTTGTTTGGTGAAGAAGCCACCAAAATCCACCTTCTAGCTTCGAACTTCCAAATTTTTCTTAGTAGTACTTTCCCTCCCTAGAGGATGAAAATCCTGAAAATAAAAATAGATGGAAAGTATCTGGAGGCCTTAACTTGTATATACAAGCTTAAGTACTGTTTAAAATGTTAATTTTGAGTGGCACAATGAAGTTTCTGTAACACATACATACTGTCAAAAATCAATTCATACTTAATAAGCCCCCCCCCCCCTCAAAAAAAGGATTTCTCCATTCATTTGAGAAAGGTCATCTGATATATGCACTGCAGTTTTCTTGCTCAAAATACTACCAAAATTCATATCTTTGCTTCAAATTTTTAAAAGTATTTTTTGGGAGTACAGAGTTTGAGACCAAAGAGCTTTTGATGTCCATTACAACACCTGTTCATCCTTTATTCATACTGCTCCTGTTCATTTCAGATAGAGTCAGTGATTGTCAGTGTCATGCACATGGTGATGTCAGATACTGGACGTGTGACAAAAAGTATTTCAAATATAACACCTCGCCCATTGACATAGGTATAATGGCAAAGCCTATAGGAAGCTGGTTTTGGTACATAACAACGACGCAAGAATACTTTGATAACATATTAGGCCAGGCTACTAGACTGTCAGCTGTGAAATTTAAGTGCTTTATCCGATACGTTATTGTTGACTACAAAACGACCCCAGCTGCGAACGGAGAATATCTTATAACGGTGAGCTCTCTCTCTCTCTCTCTCTCTCTCTCTCCTAAGGTTGCTAGAGAGAAGTAAGTTATATATCCCATTAGAAAGCTACATAAGCACGTGTGCTGTCATATGAAGTAGTTTGAGACAAAAACCAGTGTCCAAAGCATTTTTATTATAATGCATGGGTAACAGTATTCTTATCATCATTACAGGTTGGAAAGGAACCGAACACTATGTTATTCCAAACCAGTGTAAAACTCGATGGCTCGACCACTGTGGGCGTCCTGTACAGCGATTTATTCCTTGAGGTCAAATTGGAATATGTAAATAATGACAAACCGGGTTATTACATCACAGCTCGGTGCACCCTGCTCAACATTAAGATCTTCGTGGCCAGACACTGTCTGCAGATTAACATCCCTCGCGTATGGTGTCAGTGGCTGGAAGGAATATGCGGGGATTATGACGGATTTGACTACACCGACAAAAAAATCGTTGAAAATTATCCAGAGGCTACACCAAAGCCCTTCAACAGATGGCCTGGATACTAGTCGTAAATGTAAGTATCACACCCGCAAAATTGCAGCAATTATAGGAATAAAAGGTGGCACTAGCTAGTTCACACTCAACCCTCGACAGTGGCAACTGTTTTGTCCCCTTGTTCTTTCATTTCCCATAACAAAATAATGTACTGTGTATCTACTGAAATCTTAAAAAGACTTCGCCAAAACGTGTATAAATTGTGTAATTTCTCTTTTTTCCAGGTTATGACTGATTACCCAAGACGCGATGACCAATGAACAGAAAGAGAGCGAACATAGTTACTTTTGCACGAGGCTTTTTCCCTTTTAACCGGTCACTGATGCGGAGCAAGAGGAGCACTGGACGCCACTTTGTTTCACATTCCTTGGCCTGGACACGGAACTTTATCGACATGGGACACTTAATCTTTTGTTAATATCATCGGCAGAAAATGTTGCAATCCATAGATTACTACATTTAAGAAAAACTTATTTTTGACTTACTTATGTCTTTTTGGTCAACGCCCATTGGAGAATCAAATATCATGAAGAATGGAACACGAACATGGACAATGAATCTATTATTTGTGGGGGTGCACGCTACTCCTTCGGTTCTACACTAATTATTCTTGAATTTTGTCATAGTTTTATGTATTTTAGGTTGATGTATTGATTTTTAAGATTGACAGGGTTGATGTGTATTGTGTCTTCAAGTAGGATTATTGCGGGGGAATATTTATATACATGTGGAGGTTAAATTTTACGTTTTATCATAACAGGTACATATATTTCGAGGTAGTGTTCGAATCCTGAGGAAATCACCGAAAAAAATACTTTCCATAAAGGAAAACATATTTGACAAAATAAAACTAGAAATCAAAACGATGTAAAGCAAGAGAAAAAAGTACCACCAATAGGTGCAAATGAGTTGGAAGTGTTTCAAATTTAAATTTTGGCGCTCATTTCATAAATGTGATGTTAACGGGTAAGTTGCCGGAACCAAAGCTTATTATTATTATTATTATTATTATTATTATTATTATTATTATTGAATAATTACTTGATATTTCTTTCTTTTTCCTTTCACTGTGCTTGTGCTTTTAAAAGCTTTATTAAACGATATCAAATGGTATCAAACATATGTAGTTTGTTTATACTTGAAAACCGACATACGAGGAATTTCACTGGGGATTTATTAAATAAACAGTATCCAGTCAGTTAAATCAAATAAATAAATAAATAAATAAATAAATACATAAAATTAAAAGTAATTCACAAGTTCAAAAAGTACACTCGCTCCTCCATGTGGATACATTAAATTTATTTATTTAAAATTATAATTTAAGAATTAAAACAATAAATTGGAAAAGGTTCAACCATTATTTAGCACTGGATTTTTAATTTTTTAATTGAATTCTTTTTTGCTCGACAACAGCTCGCAGTCCACATTGATCTAAGTGAATAAAACAATTTTGTACGGTAAAATATGAATCTATGTAAAAATTGATGAAAAAAATGGTCTGATTGAAAATCAATTCAAAAACGTGATTCACAGGGTTTGGTCAGCATGATAAAGAATTGTAAAACTGAAGTAAACGCTTAAGGGCTCATATACATTGACCACGTGAACCCACAACCCGCCGTCCGTATATAAACCATACTGGGCTATTGGTTCTTTTGTTAGTCTTGAGTCGGCTCAGGATCTGCACTCCCTTTTTACGGGAATTAGATAGAAACATCTGAGAGTTCTTAATTGGGGCACAATTAGATAAATCTATACTCTTTATGTTTGAGACATGCATGCTGACATACTGAGAAAGAATTAATTCAGTTGCGTCGGTGAATTCATACACCCGTGGCAGCAGTCATTGCGTTAGATGTGCTACACCCGTGGCGGCAGTCATTGCATTGGACGTGATACACCCATGGCGGCGGTCATTGCATTAGACGTGCTACCCTGAGACTGGTTATAAGAGCCCTCCAGATGTCTGTGTAAAACATACATACTGGCACATAGTAAAATGGATTCATAATATACTGACAGTCAATGAAAACGCATCAGAAAACGTTCTTGTATTTTTTTTTTTTACCGAGAATCGATTCCAACCATATAAACAAGTACAAATGCATTTGTTTGGTCATAAGAGAGTGGGCTGACCACTCGGATGTTTAAAATTGCCGTTTCATTTTTGTGACCAGCTGTTACAAAATATGTTTTTTTTTCCTGTCCCGTGATTGGTGTGATTTAATCAGGTTCAATATATGGTGATTAATTAAGCCTAAATAAGGTAGTCACCGAATCCAGTGTGACACATGACAAAAAAGTTCAGTGATGCCACGCCTGACTGTGAAAGAGTAACTGCGGGCCCCGGGGATGCTGGAGGATGGGCGGAACTAAAGAGATTTGATTACGTGGCCCTGCATTTTAATTATCTTTTCTGACCTTTATTTCACCTTGTGAAACTGAATAATGGGTCATTTTCACACGTAAATTGTTATTTTCTTAATGTGCCAAAGGAACAAAAATATTATTTGATAAATAAATGATGCGTTTTCATTGACTGTCAGTATATGTGTGTGTGTGTGTGTGTGTGTGTGTGTGTGTGGCCTCACCCCGAACCACCCCAAAAACTAAAAACATCAATCCCTTAAAATTTGCATTATTTATACAATGCAGTAAGAGAACATTTTGGCACGCCGACGTTTGATGGCGGTTCTTGTTCCAATATCTAACGACCGCTGAATGCAATCAGTTTAACAGATTAACATTTAAGTATCCTCCTCCCGCCCACTGTACCACCCCTTTCCCCACAGTAAATATACGATGAGCGGTGACATTTAAACCCCCTGTCCATTTGAACCACGTATATCTCGTTTTTTTTATGAGAACTTTCAACACACTATTTCTGACGCAGTGGTCTGTGGTCAATTTGGAAATCAGGACACTGACGGTGTCTCTGTCTGTGACGGTCTGAAGGACGGTTTTCTTAATGAGATGGTCCTAAGGACAGGTTGTATTTCTATCACTAGTTGTCTAGTAGTCTAAGTCTAGTAGTCTAGTTATCTACAATGACTTTCTATTTTCTATCACTGCAAGAAAAGATAGGAAACAATAATTGGCTGTTTAGGCCCTTTATTTAGAATTTAAGCAAAGCTAAAAGATAGAAATGATTAAAACTCCGCAATTATTAACCCTTTTTTCTTTTACCCCGCTGGCTTCCAGTTGTTGTGTCACTTTGGAATCTGCAAATGATAACTCAAAAATAAAACTTTAATGCAACACAAATATTTCGTGCATTCTTAATTTTTAAATTGGGTGTTTAGATTTTAATCCCACTCATATATAATATATTCTGAAAGTCCCCATAAAGTTAACAAACCACAAACAAAATATTAATGAGATACTACACAACCTTCCAAATTTCTCACTAATGTAATTTACCCATAAGTACCTTCCATGCAATTTCTATGGTAAAGTATACATTTAAAAGAGAAAATAACATATCGGAAAAGATAATTGAACATTCTAATTGAAAGCAAAAGTTTTTAGTTAACAGAAATATTAAATTAAGAATGAAGCAGTATTACATGATAGAACTGATAAAGGTCCCAAATATTTATATCTCCTATGTATCATATAGAGATACCAATTAGAAAAAAAAACTTAATACTATACAACCAAAAAATGTCTTCACTTACAATTTGTCTACTGTTGAAAATAAATAAATAAATAACAAGTCAGCGACAATGTTATCTGACAAATATATTAATAGAAAGTCAAGTTATCTTAAATCCTAACTACTATGGCACCCAATCAACAATAAATTTAATAAAGTAAGAGAGGTAAAATTGCAGTTTGCGTCCCCCATTTTCAGAACTCATTGTCCTTATTCTTATGGAATTCAGTTCGGTTTGCCTGTGTTTACTTTCGCGTTTTGTTTGTCCGTATTCAAGTCTCGTTTATCCTTGTCACTGTCCGTATTTACTTAGGTAGCAAGAAAGGTTTCCATGGCGGAAGGGTGTCTGGCTCTAGGTCAGAATAGTCGTTAGTCGCATCGCCATTGTAATCTCCGCATATTCCACGTACTCCTAAATTAGCGGCGGAGTGTAAGGGGGTCATGGTTATCCACACAGAGTGCAGAGCGACACTGACGGTCATTGGAACAGCATTGCAAGATAAAGTGAAACCTCTGGGATCAAATGCACTCGCGATAACATCTCCGAAGTTGAATGGTACTGGATAATGAGTCCACCCGGTCCCGGTCCAATGCTGGAAGCAAAATGCAAACAAATATGTTAGTATATCGCAATGGACTACATCTACGTATTGAGAACAATTAGAACACACACAGTAAGCAAAAGTCTATGACAGTTGCTCTAAACTGCTTGCATCAAAATTTTGACGAAAGGGATAGAAAGGGACAACAAGGGATACGGTGCGCATAAACGACAGCTTAATGCAAAATGTGTTCACTGGATTGAAAACTATATTGGGAAGAAGACTCACCCACAAATATACTGTCGGACCTAAATTAGTCGCAAATAACATGTCTGAACACTTCACGTAGACTTGCTGAAAGCGCGTTTTCGGTCCTCCATTAAATAATTCTTGGTACGTAACCACCCACCAGGGAAGTCCCTCCCAGGGCATGACCATAACGCCCTCCATATTAATAGGGGTGTTGTAAGAGAACTCCAGACCGTCCAGTGTACGGTATCGTACATCGCCTCGTCCCCAACAGGTGCTGTTCCTAACTAAAAGAACAGAGAATTTGAAGTTTGAGTATCTTATGTCAATAAGTGCGGAGGGAAGGACAAACATGTGTACGGTGTCACTATATAAATGTGAGGTGGTGTTGATAACGCTATCTTTAATAAATTTATCTTCACACATGAGAGCTATTTAGTGAATTGTCCATAAGGAACTGTTTCTTTATTGCTTCTTTGGTTGGCATTATGGCCTTCCTAGCCATGTCCCTATTAAAGTCTCGTATTATCTCGGTTAACCATGGTGCCGTAGTAGAATTATAAAGTTAAACTAGACTTACCTGTAGGTTGAAGTTTGACTGGAATTCTACATAGGCACCATGGTTAAGTGAGAGATTATGCGCACACTCTGTGATTTCCCCTCCCAAACGCGTATTTAAGAGTACGGAGTTAAAAAAATGACCTCTGGGATCGCGCAATGCTCTCTCGCATTACAATCTCTCACTTAACCATGGTGCCTATGTAGAATTCCTGTCAAACTTCAACTTACAGGTAAGTCTTGTTTAACTTTACAATTAATACGCATGTAAGCTTTGGATAGCACAGCAAGTAAATATTAAGGGTGACAACAAATCCAGCCATCATTTTGCCTTCTATTCCGCCCAATGTAAACCAGAAAACCTTGAAGTAAGGGTGTACTATTTGATTATTTGAATGTATACAACCAATAACTACAGGATACACCCTTATAACCATAAAAATAAAAAAAAGTGATTCGATTTCACAAGATAGCAAATATTTTACACTCGCTGGGCACCCAAGAAGAGCAACATTTATCTCGTGACAATGACAACATTGATGTAGAGACTAAAGTGAACTTTGATGTTCTCGTCAACAATCACGTTTGACCTGGTTGTAAGTTGGTCTAGTCTACTTACTTTCGTTAGGGGTGAACTGCGGTGTATGTGGAGAGCTGCCTGCGTGTTGCGATAGCTCGTTTTCAATCTGCTGGGGAGTGAGAAAGTCATCTTGAGTAGCTCCAGGTCCAACGTAGACCAGAAGTATAGCTACGGCCAGAGAAATAAGGTGTCGATCCATGATGTCGATAAGCAGATATCTCAGCTGTCGTCGGTGTGGGGTCTTTTATAGTCCTCAAGTTCATTTAATTTTTACTGAGGTGGAATAGATGCTACCAATAGGCGTGCAGATGAATATTAATGTTGATGTCATGGAATATTTTGATTGATTTCCACACGTATCTCTATATTGTAACTTTTCCTTTAG